TGGCAAATAAAGCATCTATTTTTTCTTGTGAAAATTTCCTGGCCTTCTATGTCTGAAATATTTTGTGTGTCTATTGGACCTTGATTTTCCATCTGGAATTCTTGGCCATCTAAACCTCCTGAATCCTTTCTGTCGCCTAGATGTGTTGTAGGAATATCCTGCTCCGGTGATCAGGTCGGATCTGCTATATGCTTTATCAAGCGCTGGATTGTGCCGGATAATTTGTTTTAAGGCTGAGCGCTTTGTACAAATGTCCTCCAATGCTACGAAAATAGCTTTCCTGATGTCGCTGACTTGTGGGACTGTACTTTGAAAATAGCTTTGCCGATTTCAAAGTATATCTGTGCCATTTTTTGAAAATGCATGTCAATTTCATTTATGTCGAATAACACACACTTCATCTCGAAGAGTTGTCTTCACATTTTCTCCTATCTTTGGTATGTATATCCACAGAAAACTTCATGTAGGATCCTGATGTTGAAGGCAAAATCCTGGGATGTAAGGAAAGTATTTTTGTCTTTAATCCCAAGTGAATTCCACCAAGCTCTGAGGATTCTTGAGAACCGGGAAGTTAGTTCTGACATGATGATATACTTTTCTCGTCCCACCAAATTTTTGGTCACCATCCAAGTATAGAAGTCTTGGATCCTTTGAGGTCATTATGAAACCTTGACGTCATCTAAGGTGAAAGTGTGGAAGCTAGTTCCAACTGGTTTTGATGCCATGATTTCATGTCTTCTTTCTGGTAATGGTTCATCCGTCATGCTTTCTTGATCCTTCTCTACTTAAGATATTTTTGGGTCTCCTGGTTGGCTCACAAATATTAGGGGATCGTCTTCTTCTGAAGAGTTTGATATAGAATCATTGCTTGATTGAGAGCTATCTTCCATAGTTTCATCATCTGATGGATTTAGAGATTCTGACCATGTTGTATCTCCTTTTGAGATGTTTCTTGGCTAGGAGACATAAAGGTCTGGAGTTTTTTGATAAGAAATCATCAGACTTTCGGAGTGGACTCTTTTGAACTTTCTCCTTGGTCTCACCTTTTGTTGGTTTGTTTCTTGGATGCAAGAGCATCTTTCCTTTCCCAAACCAATTTTGCAATATCGAATTTAGGTTCTTCTTTTAAGTGTTGGGTGAAAGAGATAGGATTCTCTGAGGTAGTAGGAAAGGTAAAAAAGGTGTTGTCCAATGTTGGTGGGGAATATGCTTGTGTTGACATGGGATAAAAGGTAGATTTTGAAGGGAAGAGTGGGGGGTTTTTTGTGACTCAAAGCGATCATTTCTCAAAAGTTGGATTTGTTCCTTGATTGAAATCGTCTCCTTTTGTTATTGTTGGAAGAACTGGAAAAGTAAAGTTCCTGGCGGACAAATCTCATATTGTAAATTTGTCAATCTTAGTTCTAAGGCTTTGATTAGTCCTGCATGCTGAGACGATGTCTGCTTCACCTTTTTCTCAATTGTTTCCACCTTGCTCATTAACTTGTTTTGTGCATGGGCCACATTTTTTATGGTGTTGCCAATATTGTTGAGCACTTTGTTTTGGCAGATGGAATTTTCTAATTGCCAGTTTATTGTTGATTCGATGTCACTCATTAGGGGGTTTTCTCCAAAAGGTAGTACAATGTTTTTCTTGGGGATTTTTGGAGCATGGGTGATACCCTCCTTTTCAAAAGGTTGAAGTGCAGGAAAATCTTGGGAATGGCTGGAACTTGAAGGGCTCAACATGAATATTTGTGGGTGTGTGGGAGTTTTAGGTTCAGGTGGCTTTTTGGATTCTGGGTTACGGGCTAATGGTGATTTGCATTTTGGGGTGTTTTCACTATCTTCCCAGCTTGGAGTGAATTGTTTTGGTAATATTGGCCATTTATGGGGTTTGTAACTCACAAGAAATTCATATTTACCTGGGCGGCTCAATGAGCCAATTAAAGGGTCTTTATTTTTTTATCTGGCTCGAAATTGCTTTTCTATGAATTTCTCTTTTTCCTGGATTTTGGTTTGGTCTTGTTAAGGCCAAATCTTTCCCAATGACGTAGATAGTGTTCACCATATTCTCCAATTAGGTCTTCTAAATAGTCTTGGTAGTTGCAACCAAGATCCCAAGGGCAATGTCTCGTAAAGGGGCATTTGAACCACCATACTCTTTTTCCTTCTTTGTCAAAATGTTGACACAAGTCATGTTCTTCCATGATGCTTTGTATATTCCAGAAGAATTCTCCGTCAGATTCAAGGTATGTATCTATTGTATCTTTGTGTTGAATCATCTAGCAAGAGAAAATGGTTTTATTGGGGTTTTTGAGATGATAATGCTCAAAAATTATGCAAACAGTTTTGTCATTTTTTTTTGGTAAAAGTTGGTTAACTAGATTGTAGAGATTCCTTTGGTTCCCTTCGCTTTTCGTAATCTGTGATCTAGGAATCAGGAAGAATTTTGACAAGCTTATCTCTGGAAATTTGTCTAGGTATTTGGGTGCACATGCTGTTTCCTTTGGTAGCATCAATATTCAAGAGTAAAACATTTTCTCCTCCGGGAAGGCAGAGATCTATGGCATGATTTTGGACATGCCACGCTATTTGGTGATGAAGAGTGGCTTGGATATAATCTTTGACTTGTGGGGCACCTTGGATTTGGACTTGGATTTTTAGTGCTTCAGTTAAGTATGGGTCTTAAAGGGACATGTCGAAATTTGGGAAGATAGTTATGAGGACAGTTCCTGCATTCAAGGTAACTTCTGCGGTACCCAAATTTGCATGTTGGTACTCCAAGTATCTTGTAACTAGAAGAGAAAGTCGAGCTACAACAGGTTGGTATTTTCTTCCGTGATATGTTAAAGAGATTCGGATAACACCAAAATGGATATGGGTAAAACCATGATCTCTCCAATGTCTGGGAAAATCATCTGGGATTTCAAGGGTGATAAACTGTTCCTCTCGAATGGCAAAAATAGGATGTTGGTCAGGTTTTGAGGCAACAACATATTCTTTGACTCCTTTGGGTCTGTGTTGGACTAAGGAATGAATTTGGGTCCATGGTGCAAATGACTTTTTGGCAAAAGCTAAGTAAGGGTTTATGAGGGGTAGTTCAGTGGAAGATATTTTTTGTTCATCGGGTAGGATATCGACTTCATAGAGGTAATCATATTTGTTGGACAAGGTTTTATATAGAGTAGAGAACATATTTAGTTTTGCAAGGGAAGAGGATGATGGAAATGACTCAGACAAATTTAGTAAATTGTTCCTCCCTCCGAAAGGATGGGCTGGCTCTGATACCACAGTATAAGGAATAGAGCAAGAGACTCCAAGAAAGCAAACTAAATCATAGATACAAAACTAAATTTTTCGGATAAAATTGCCCCTACGGAGATTCACATGACAGCGGAAAATAAGTCGCCTCAACACTATGACTACCTCGGCCTCACAAAGGCAAGCGCGGACCGCAGTTCTTCTCTTTTTAGCTGGTTTTGAGCTTGAGTTCGTTGGGAGCGGAAAAACACTAGCTCAGCGCTCCTTCAACCGCGGACGCAAAATATGATCGCGGACCGCACCTTTCAATTTGAGCTCCCAACTAATGTTCTTTGATTCTTCATTCCGCTGAGGGCAAGAACTGGACCACGACCGCGTTAGATAATACCACTACCGTACAATTTCACCGCGAGAAGCGGTGACTATTAAGCTTCAAAAATACTCTCTGAATCCTCAAACCGCTGAGAGTGGCATCAGGACTTTCTCAGCAGTAAACCCCTCGCGTCTGCTGCTATTTCTCGCTGTCAGTGCCCCTTTGATTTCTACTTTAAACTTGTGTAGGTTTCACTCCTTTTTGAGCTGGTTATGACTTTCTTGTCTCCTTTTTTTTACCAAACACTGCCAACAAGCACACTAAGTTATCGTTCGGGAATACTTGTACATATGTTTAATCCAAAACCTAAGCAAAAAGGAGCATAAAATAGGCTAGAATCCCTAGTTATCATGCTACTTGGCACGTTTGATAAATAAATGTGTTTTTTGTTTGAGCATTGCGCAACGTTTATATTTTTGCGTCGAAATATGCAGGGTTTTGGGTGCACCTTTCCACGATAGCTTTTGGGTTCTGGGCATAAATGCTTTCGAAACTAACCTTTTACTGTGAGGGTTTCATAAGAGATATCCTCTTATGTTTATGGTGCTCTTGAAAAGGCCGTCTCCTGTTCATTCCGGTACTAGAATTTGAAGTACTTTGTTAACTTTCAAATGATAAAATCAATTAATCATCTGGATAGAAACAAGATAAAAATAAAAGGACTTTATTTTATTCTTTATATTTTTAAAAGTACATAAGCATTCATTTTGCTGAAAGAAAGTAATTGCCATTACATGTGGCTAATTTGTACAACTTGTTTCTACGGGGCTAACTATGTAGTCGCTGATCTCGATGAGGCGTACTTGTTCCCGTATTTTGCAGTCCTAGTTTCTATCGCAATCAGGATGCCGTATTATCATACTATTCCCCCTAGTGTTCGAATACAGAGAATGCAAATTGGAACACTGAAAGTCTTGCTCTTTTGAGGATTCCACTAGCGAATGGTTAGATAATCTTTGGTTTGATAGCAAGCTTCGTTTCCTATTAGGAACTTTGCTATCGAGAAAAGATTATCTAACCACCCCTAGAAGCTTCTAGGAAAGAGCACTTGTGAATGGTTGAATAGCCTTTGGTCTGACGGAAAGTTTTGCTTCCCGTTAGGAATTTGCCATCGAGCCAAAAACTATCTAACCATCCCAGAGTGGCATGTTGTTTCAATGCCTTGTCATTTAAAGGTCTTATCTACGCTGATGATGTTTCCTTCGTAATATGCTTTCTGTTGCTATCTCATTAAAAACATTACTAGAAAAACCCATTTGGGAAAAAAACTAGTAATACCTTCTGAGGTGATGCCCATCAGTAGTAATACCTTCTGAGGTAAGTCACATTCCAATTGCTCAGCAATTTGACCCTATTTTGGTTTTCTAGTTCTTATGATCTCTTTCTAGTGACAGCTAAAACTCTGTAGGGGCCTTCCTATGTTGGGTCCAACTTTCCTGCGTTGAGCTCTCGGGGTGTTTTGAGTCCATTTCCTCAAATCCAAGTCTCCCACTTTGAAATAACGGAGATTGGCCCTTCGGTTATAGTACCTTTCCATTCTTTGTTTCTTGGCCACTATCCTTATGTGCGCCAAGTCCCTGGGTTCTTCAAGCAGATCCAATTTGACCATCATTGCTTCGTTGTTTGTTTCTTTGTCTGTCTGGAAGTACCACACTGTTGGTTCTCCTACTTCCACTGGGATCAAAGCTTCTGCATCGTATATGAGAGAGAAAGGTGTCTCTCCCTTGCTTGACTTGGCCATCATCCGATATGCCCACAACACTCCCGGTAATTCTTCGAGCCACTTGTCTTTGGCTGCTTCTAACCTCTTTTTGAGGTTTTGAATAATCACCTTATTTGTTGATTCTGCCTGTCCATTTGCGCTCGTACGGTACAACGAAGATGTGATTCTTTTAATTTTCAAGTCTTCGAGGAATTTTGTGACCTTTGAGCCTATGAACTGTGGCCCGTTGTCGCAGGCAATCTCCTTCGATATTTTGAATTGACAAATTATGTTTTTATGTTTTTCCATAAGAAATCGACCACTTCGCGCTCGCCGATTTTCTTGTAAGGACGTGCTTCAACCTACTTAGTGAAGTAATCAGTTAAAGTTAAAAGAAATCTTACCTTCTCGAGAGCCGGTGGTAGCAGCCTGACTATATCCATCCCTCATTTCATGAATGGTCATGGGGATAGTATCGAATGCAGCAGTTCTGCTGGTTAGTGCACTAATGGTGCATGGCATTGGCACTTGTCGCATTTCTGAATAAATTCCTTAGCATCTTGTTCCATCCGGGGCCATTAGTATCCTGCCCTAACTAATTTTAGCACCAACAAATCTGTACCTAAATGATTCCCTCAAATTCCTTCGTGAACCTCTCTCATGACGTAATTAGACTCGGAAGCTCCTAAGCTTCGGGCCAACGGGCCTTGAAACGACCTTCTGCATAACTGTCCTCCCCAGAAGCTTTAACGAGCTACTTTGGTGCGGAGTGCTCGGGATTCCTTCGGGTCTTCGGGTATCTTTCCACGCTCAAGGTATTCTATGATCTCATTCCTCTAGTCCCAGACTAGGTTGGTTGTATTTACTTCATAATAACCGTCCACATCCAGTACTGAATGCATGAGCTAAACGACAGTACCCGAATCTGAATCCTTTATTTTTGTGCATGATCCCAAATTGGCCAATGCATTTGGTTTTGCATTTTCTTCTCTTGGGATATGGGTGATCGACAATTCCCTGAACCGAGCAAAGATTGAACCTTAACAACATATTGTTGCATGCGCTCCTCTTTGGTGTCGAAGAATCCATATATTTGATTTAACACTCATTAAGAATCATATTTGATTTCAATGACCTCGGAGTCTAGTACTCGGGCTAGTTCAAGTCCCTAGAATCAAAGCCTCAAACTCGGCTTCATTGTTAGTTAAGGGAACAGTTTTTATGGCCTGCCTCAGGACTTCTCCCGAGGGCATGATTAAGACCACACCGAGCCCGAACCTTTTAACATTGGAAGCTCTGCTCGTGAACAAGGTCCAAACTCCTGATGTCGTTTCCGACACCATCACTTCTTCTTTTGTGACTAAAGACAGTAGCCCAGGACTAAAATCGGCCATGAAGTCGGCCAAAAATTATGATGTGATTGCAGTCCTAGCCTTATATTCAGTATAAAATTCACTAATTTCAACTGCCCATTTAGCCAGTCGACCTGACAACTCAAGTTTGTGAAGGAAATATTGCAGGGGAAAATTTGTCACCATGACTATCGGGTGGCACTGAAAATAAGGCCTAAGCTTTTGAGCAGCGACTACGAGAGCTAAGGCTAGTTTTTTGAGGTGCGGATAATGAGTTTCTGCTCCCGATATTTTTTTTTACATAATAGATAGGAGATTGCGTGCCTTTATCCTCCCGAACTAGAATGACACTTACCGCTACCTCCGAGACTGCTAGGTATATTAGCAATTGTTCGCCTTCCTCCGGTTTTGATAGTAATGGAGGGCTTGATAAATACAGTTTCAGGTCTTTTAGAGCATGTTGGCATTCTGGAGTCCACTTCTTCTTCTTTAGAAGTGAGATGAAGTGATGCCATTTTTCCAAAAATCGAGAAATGAACCTGCCTAGAGCGGCTAGTATTCTAGTTAGTCTTTGGACTTCTTTCACATTGGTCAGCTGGTCTAGAATGTCCTCGATGGCTTTAATCTTGATGGGATTGATTTCGATCCACCTTTGTGACACCAGGAAATCCAAAAATTTACCGGAGCTGAATCCAAACACACATTTTTCGGGGTTATGTTTCATGTTGTGTTTTCTTAGGATATCGAAGGTTTCTTGGAGGTGTTTCAAATGGTCACCTGCATTCAAAGACTTAACCAACATATTGTTGATACCCAATTTTTCCCTCATATATTTTAGTGCACATACACTTTCAAAATATTGTACATTCATTTTCAAGCATGCACAAGTATTTTTATAATTTTTTTACAACTTTTCAAGGCCGTGAATCCATTTATTTCTGCATTTTTAATTACATGAATGTTCAAAATTATCCCTCATATTATTCTATGATGATTTAATCATCTAAATTCATAATTTATGGTCATATGAGTCTTCAAATATTTTAATTATATATTTTTATAATTACATTTGCATTTTTAAGATTATAATCGCATATTTTGCAAAAATAGCCACTACATATGCATAACTACATTATCTATATAGAAAATATTTTTTTTATATTATTATAATATTGAATAATTATTTTAAATAACTTTTATGCTTGAAAATCATTTTTTATCATTTAATTATCTATTTTTAATTTTTTTATTTAGTATAATGGGTATTTAACAAATAGCCTTTTTAATTCCTTTAATTTTTTGGACCTAACCCACTATATTAGCCCAAACCCTCAAACAATACTAGCCCAATTCACCCCCAATCCCAACTTGACTAATCGACCTAGTAACCCCGTCCAATCGTGGCCGTTGATCCTTTAGATCAACGGTCCACATTAACCCTTACCATTTTTAATCCTAACCAAACCCTAACCCATTTCATTCTCTCCCTTCCGCCGTCACTGATTCCCTCCAACTCTCTATTCTCTCTCGATCCCCTCCCCAAACCTTAATCACCGTAACTGGCAAAAAGCTCCCGTTTATGGAGTTTCTGTGTATTCTTTGACCATTACCGACCTTCTATACCTCCTGGCTATTTGATTACATGGATCCTTAAAATAATCTCAAGGAGATTCAACCTGGTTCTTTGTCCGAAGTTTGTTTACTGGCCTGACTAGGGCCATTCTCATTTGTGAGTACTAATTTCCTCCTATTTTTTTAATTTGAATCGATGGTTTTTGACCGCGTTTCTTTCATCTCTATTGTTTTGAAACCATAGTTCTACAAATGTTTGAATCTGTTCAGATTTTTGTAGATCTGAAACGATTCGAGCATTATTTGGTGTTTTCCCTCAAAAATCTTTTGTTTTGGTTAACTGCTTCGATTTTATTTACTTTCTTCTAAAACTAGGGTTTGTCCTGAGTTTCTTCAAAAGGTTTTTAACTTTCAAATGTCGAATCTAACTATCTCTTTACATGTTTGATTAATTTTCGTGTATATGCTTAAAGCCTAGATGTTCTTGTTTGTGACACTGATTTCTTCAATTTTTTTCGTTATTGTGTTTATTTCTGTGAACCAGTTATATTGACTGATTCTATTTTAAGTTTTGAATAATTCTTTCCTATTTAAATCAGTATTCATTGAGACTTTTACTGATTGATTTCTATTAAGGTTTCAAATAATTTTCCTGTTAAAATTAATATTTTCTGGGATTTTTATTTGTTTCCTTATTTATGACCTTGATTAATTATACTTGCCTTAATTAATTATCAGTACGGTTTGGGAGATTTGACCGACTCCATATATGGTATGATATTGATCACTTGCCTTATTTGAGCCCTAGTTCTATGCCGCTAATTGACTCTTCCCAATTTAATGGGTCTCTTCCGGATTTTCCATAGGAATTGATCCCCTAATTGGCTGATTGATTTTATTTGATTGTTTTACAGACTGTGATTTCTTCTTTACCTTATTTGTTTTACCACACTAAGTGCTATATATACCCTCTCATTCTGATTCTTCAAACATGAACAACAGTTTACAAACATACTCACACACAAACTTTGCTCTCATCTCTCTCTACTACTTCTGTTCATTGCTTGTCTAGTTGGCTGAAAGCCAAGACTAGATTGTTGAATCCTGCCTACTTTACCTTCTGCTTCCTTAACTGGTATTCTCTCACTATTTCCATTCAATTGAACCTATGTGTTTCTCTTACAATTAGTATGCCTTCTTCTTAACCTATATGTTTTCATGCTTAGCATGTCTACTACTATTTTGATTCAACTATCTGTCCTGTTATCAGCATGTTCACTTTCCTGTTAGTAAACCAGTAGGATCTCTATATCAGCCTGCCTATCTTTAATTAAACCTATGTGCTTCATGTTTATTGTTCCTATATCAGTATGTGTACTGCCATTCAATTAGACTATATGCTTCCTGCTATTCAATATGTTTCCTTATAACTAACATGCCTTCTTTCTGCTTAATCAAACTGATGTGTCTGCTACAATAGTATGTCTACCTATATGTTTACTGCAATAACATGCCTACTTCTATTTGATTGAACCTATGTGTCTTGTTTTCAACCTGTTTACTCATGTTTTAGCCAGAACTATGTGCTTTTGCTTTCAGCAAATATGTATACTTGATTATGTCTATACTGGACCTATGTCTACTTCTCCACTAGCATGCTCTTAAAATGTTCACCTCTCACAATATGGCTCCCCATCCCTACAACCCCTTTGAATGTGACTGTTTGAGTGATCCTAGCATACCATGCCTTGGATTAGTGTCTACTCAGCTAGTAACAGCTAGTAAACTAATTTGAAACTTTGAGTTACCCTATTACTGTATACCACTTGACTGTTGGGACCTTTGTTTGAGTTACAATGGTTGAATGCCCCTGTTTACTCCTTACTTCCTGAGAATCCAAAATTATTTTCTTAAAAACTATCTCTTGTTTTAAACTCCTATCTTAGAACACCTAGGGTCTAGCCCCTCTAGTGTGAGCATTACTTAGGAGTCCATGATACTCCTCTAAACTTTGACACACTGGAATTGGCTTTCTAAAGTTGCTCACAAAGGGTTACTTTGAAAATTTTCTGGTGTGAGCATTGGCCGGGGTCCCTGAGGCCCTTGAGAACTGTGACACACCAGGTTACCATTGGGTGCACTATGAGATTATGGCATTTTGAGACTGGTTGAAGGCCTGGTTTGCCAGGTTTATCCTTTGGGCCTATATTCAGGCTCCCTATAGCATAGCTTGGTTTATTCTATAATTCATTTGTTCTATGGTCTATAATAAAAATCTTTGTAAACAGATATTGGGAAAATTAGTAAAAAGAAGGGATTCTTATGTGATCTTTTTGGGGAAACCGGGTAGAGATCATGCCTCTAGGTCTATATTATGTTTACGTTCATTAGAAATCATGCTTTAGGTTTATTCTATGCTTACTTGCATTAGAAATCATGCTTTAGGTTTACACTATGTTTACCTGTATTAGAAACCATGCTTTTAGGATCACTTGGCATACTAGACAACATGTTATAGGCTCACTACCTCATTTGTTACAAATTCTGTTTCTGCATAATCATGATCATCTAGGAATCCTGTTATTAAGTTACTGCTATAATTCTGCCTAATAA